TAATGAAATGATACTTATTTGGTGCTCACTCATCAGTGTACCAGGGTGGCAGCTGTGAACAGGACAGAATAGCATGTGCAGATTACAGACCCCATTGTGTGTCCACTTAGCCTCTCTAAAGAGATGACATCTGGGTAGGAAGGCCTCTATGATGAGAAGTTGGTCATGAAAATATGGGGAAAGGTCATTCCAGGCAGAGTGAAAATCAAGCACAAAGTCTCTGAGGTGAGAATGAGTTTGTTGGGTTTGCAAAAGAAAAATAAAGTTTGCAGGTAGATAAAGTAAATTTATATGTAGAAAGTGGCCAGATTGTGGAGGCCCGGACACAGGGTTTGGATTTTATTCTGGAAGTGACGGGAAGCTATCCAATGGTTCTTAGTAGGGCACTGTATGCAGAAGAAACTATGGCAAAGTGTAGACTATGGTGGTACCCCTCACCCCTCATATTCCTTTTACATTGCGCTAAATTCCGCTGCGATGAGTCCCAGCCTCTGACACCTCACAGCTGACCCTTTTCCTGAGAACTACCCTTGGTTGAAAGGAAACAGCCACCTAGCCAGGAACTGCCTGTGAGTGATGACCTCTTCCCTCCTCTCTAGAGGTGCAGCCCACAGCCAATGACTGACTGACTGGGGGACACAACAGCCAGTCTCCTTGCCTCAAGGAGGGGCAACTCCTGGTGGTGTGTTCCCCACTCTGTAGTGTGTTTCCCATTCCAAACTAGGGCTAGACCTCAGCTCAAAACAGGGCTTGGCCAAGCTTCTTCCTCTACTGTATGTTGCTTCCTCACTCACTTCTAGGTTTCACCTCACTCACTTCTAGGTTTCACCTAAGAAAAGGGCTAGACCTCAGCTCAAAACAGGGCTTGGCCTGTATGCTGCTTCCTCACTCACTTCTAGGTTTCACCTAAGAGTATTCCCACACTAAGTCTTTAGCACAAAACTCCCCACCTCAGGCTCTGCTTCTAGGGAACCTGACCCTAGACAGAGTTAATGAAGGGAAACCCAATTCTCAGCTATTTGTTCTTCATAGTACTATTAAAAGCATCATTCCTTTTCATTGCCAGGTGGCTCATTTCTTTCTCAATCTCCTATCATATTTGATCTTCCTCCATTGCATCTGACATTCTACTAATGTACTCCAATTACAACTGAATGTTCCTAAACATCAATTTTGTCATTTTCTGAAAACAAAGATATTGGAGGTAGCTTTTGAAGCTTTCCACTAATCAATCAGTCAGCCTGTCTGTCTGTGTCTGTCGGGTAGTCAACAAATATTTATTTGAGTCTATCCTATGTGCCAGACCTTGTGCAAGGAATATGAAAGATACACAGTCCCTTTCCTTAAACTTGTGTCTAACAAAAGAGTCTGCCAACAATATAACACTGCCCAAAGTTTCTGATTTTATCTTACCCTTGTTTAAAGCCAATCTGTTCATTATCTCTTCATTATGCCAAGTTCATTTTAACCCCATCCTTCACCTATTCAAACTCAAGTCCTTCTCAAAATCCAGTTTAAGATCTTCCCTTGTTATTCCAGCCCACAATGTCATCTCTCTGAATCCTTAGAGCATTTGCAGCCTGTACCACTCATGAGTACATTCATTTACTCCATAATGTTTGAGAATCTCCCACATGCCCAGCACTGTGCTAGGTGCTGAGAAAGATCATAAAATACCTGGAATTTTATGTAAATGTTGTATAGGTATATATCCTATTTCTGCTTCAATACTTAAACTTTTAGAAGGTAGGAATCAAGCTTGTATTATTACTTTGCTTCAGGTATAAACAAGTTCGCTACACATAATATAGTTATTAGATGTTAACTCTTCCTGTGCTTTAAATGTTCCATTGATAGCAATTTAATTTATACCAATTGTTGAAAATACTTTATTACTTGTGTATATTTACCTAGCATCTTTACTCCCTACCTCTCCCCAGTATAAACTCAAATGTGTTTGATCTACTACTCTGATGCTCATGGATGACCACAATAGCACAGAATTACTTCAGGAAAAGAAGAAAGAAGAAAACTTGCCAAGGAGAAATTCTTGGCAAACGAAGGTCTAGAAGGAAGAATGTAGACTAGAATAAATTCAAAGTTTACTAAAGATAAATTCTTATATATTCCTCAAGACTTTATTTGGAGGTCATCTCTCTTAGGAAGTTTTTTTCCAGCTTGGCCCCCTCCCTTTCTGTTCTTTGTGAAGATATCTAACACCGAGCTTACCCCATTGTGTGTCCACTTGGCTAACGTGCAATGCTTCCCTGATACATGGTGTAGGTGCTCAATGTATTAATAAATAATGCTACCTTTATTCCAATAAACCTTTCCTCAAAAACACAGACTATATTCACAATGCCATTACCTGAAAACATCTAAAGACACTTAACTCACTTAAAAAATATGCAGTCTAAAATAAAAATAAATCCATTTCTAAAGCTCCAAACAGGTTTTCTGAAAGAACTCTAAATGGATCTAATAAACCACATAATAAAGTAAATTTTAAAACAAATTTGAAAATATTTATAGCAATTTATATGTAGTTTTTTAAAGGTACTCCTACTTTCCAGATCTTTGTTGATATTGACCAACATGGAAACACCATTGAAAACATATAAAACTTTTCATATGAATGAAGATTTTAAAACCAACCTGTAAAGCAGCCTAATAAAATAATACCAATGATGACTAAAATGCATTAATTAATATACTAGATAGGCAGCATAGCCTAGTCAT